TTCTTCTCCTCCCCCTCCTCCTTCTTTTCCTTTTTTCTCCTCCTTCTTCTCCATTATCCTTCTCCTCCTCCTTCTCCTCCTCCCTCCTCCTCCTCCCCTCCTCTCCTCCTCCCCCTCCTCCTCCTCCTCCGCCCTCCTCCTCCTCCTCCTCCTCTTCCTCCTCTTCCTGCTCCTTCTCCTTCTCCTCCCCCTCTTGCTCCTCCTCCTCCTCCTCCTCCTCTTCCTCCTCCTCCTCCATCTCTCTATCAGACTCACTCGCCACACTCGCCCGCTCTGCTTCCCGCGCCCTCTCGCCCAGGGAGGCCCGTGGATAGGCTGAAGCGATGCTCCCAGCCATGAGGCTCCCGAGGAGGCCGCGGAGAGGGGCTAGAGGCTGGATACGGGGCCAAGCAAGCAAGGTATAGTATATGTTTGAACGAGCGTGTTCTACCGCTGCTGGCGGAAAAACGGGGGGGGGGGGGGCACTGGGGGTTCCTAACCCGTTCCCCTCCCCCCTCGAAAACCGGGGGGGTCACTACCGGTTCGACCCCCCTCCCTCGAAAACGGGGGGGGGTCACTACCAGTTCGAACCCCTCTCCCCTCCCCCCCCTCGCCGCTGGCAAACGATTCCCGCTCCTCGAGACAGTCGGACAGTGGTGGGGATGCTGGGACAGTGGTGGGAACGGTGGTGGTGGGGACAGTGGTGCGGGGACAGTGGAACAGTGGTGCGGACAGTGGTTGGGACGGTGGTGGTGGGGACGGTGGTGAGGGGACAGCAGGACAGTGGTGGGAACAGTGGGACAGTGGTGGGGACGGTAGTGGTCGGGACAGTGGTGAAGGCGGTGGTGAGGACGGTGGTGGGACAGTAGTACAGTGGGGAGGGTGGCGGGACAGTGGGGACAGTGGGACAGTGGTGGGGACAGTGGGGACAGTGGGACAGCACAGTGGGACAGCGGCTGGGACAGTGGGGACAGTGGGACAGTGGTGGGAACAGTGGGGACAGTTGGACTGGTGGGGACCGTGGGGAAAGTGGGGAGAGTGGGACCGTGGTGGGACAATGGTTGGGAGAGTGGGGACAGTGAAACACTGGTGGGGGCACTGGTGGGGACAGCGGGGACAAGGGTGGGAACAGTAGGGACAGTGGAACAGTGGTGGGGACTGTGGGACAGTGGTGGGGACGGTGGTGGTGGGGACAGTGGCGTGGGGACAGTGGGAATGTGGTGGGGACAGGAGGACCGTGGTGGGGACAGTGGTGGTGGGGGAGGGCGGTGGCGAGGACGGTGGTGGGACAATGGGACAGAGGTACCGTGGGGACCGTGGGGACTGTGGTGGGAACAGTGGGACAGCTCAGTGGGACAGCGGCGGGGACAGTGGGACTGTGTGACAGTGGGGACAGTGGGGACAGTGGTTGGGACCGTGGGGACAATGGGGAGAGTGGGACCGTGGTGAGAACAGTGGTAGGGACAGTGGGGACAGTGCGGCGACAGTGGTGGGGGCACTGGTGGGGACAGTGGGGACGGTGGTGGGATGTGGTTCGCACGGTGGTGGGGACCCGGGAGTCGTTTGCCGGCGCTGATTGGGGGGGGGGTTCGAACCGGTAGTGACCCCCCCCAGTTTTCTGGAGGGGGGGGGAGTAGTTCGGACCGGTAGTGACCCGTTTTCTGGAGGGGGGGAGGGGAGGGGTTCGAACCGGTAGTGACCCCTCCGGTTTTCTGGAGGGGGGGGGCAAGGAGGGATTCAAACTGGTAGTGACCTCCCCGGTTTTCCGGGCTGGGGAGGGGTTAGGGGAGGGGGGCTTTGCCGGGGGGAAGGGGGGGTGGTCCAGCAGCAGGAGGGGGGGGATTTTCGGATGGGGGGGGACCCCTGGGGTCCGGAGGAAGAGGGGGGGGAGTTTACCACAGTAAAGCAGCGGTGGATCACGCTCTATGTTTTCATCCTTTGATTTGACGGGGACTTCCGCACGCTGTGCCCCCTCCCTCATCCCCTTCCCGAGTAGTCTTTCGTCCCCGATCCACTTTTTCATGGTCGCTTGGGTCCGAGAACGGCCCCAGGGGCCGAAAAGAGGAAGAACACCAATCCGGCGGAAGACGTCAGTCCGTCGCAGATCTGGGCGCGCTCACCCCGCTCGCTGCGCCCGTGAGACAGCACGCCCGAGAGGCCTCTTGCCTGCCGCCCCGCACCCCGAGAGCCCCCCCCCATCCGTGCCAGGATCGGCGCGGCGCGGGCCCGGCCCGCCTCCGCGGCCTGGGTGCGCAGGCCGGGGTCCTGCAGGCGGAGCGCGTCTCCGCCTTCCCTCTTCCCTCTTCGAGGATGCGTGTGCGTGTGTGTGCTTGCCCTCTGAGCCACAGCGCGCGTTATGCCCTTCCCCGTCCCCCCTTCTTCCCCCCTCCTCCCAGAACGTAACGCTCTCCCCCCCCCCCTTAGTGCAACCCCGGCACCGCCGCAGTGCGTCCCGCACCACAGTCTGTCACGGTGGGGGCCGGGGCGTTACGTCATGCCCCCCCACCCTTACCCATCATCCCCCCGTGATGCCCGTGATCGCCGCCTGTAAACAGGTGTTCTCTTCCTTTCAGAGCGATTCGACCTCCTCCTGTTGCAAGAGCGATCAGTGCTGCTGTGTCTTACCTGCACGTTTCTCGAGCCATGTGTGGCCCCATGTTGGCCGAGACGCAAACGGCGCAGCCCTGCCAATGCACATCCAGTCGTGCGCCAGGGAGGCCATCGGCGGTGCGTGGCGCTGGCGGAGCTTCAGGACCAGCCCTTCCCCCCCACCCGATTTGCCCAGAACTCAGGCGCCGCGCCCTCCCGGAGGTCTGGACCTTCTTTTCTCTGGGGCCGGCCCTTCACCCCACCAAGATTTGTTCACATCGCAAGGGCGCTGGGGCCACCCCCGCCCCCTCCCCGTCCTCCTCCCTGGCTGGCGCTAGGCTGAGAACGTGGCCCTCCAGCAGGATGCGAGGCGGCACCCCGTGGAGCTGAGCGCCGCCAGGATTCGAAGACCAAAATTGTATAGATTCGGAATCGTTCAGACATGCGCATCCTGTGTGTGTGTGTGTGCGTTGGCCTCGCAGGGGCAAATCGCGCTCTCCGACATCTTGTAGCACAAGCTCCGTGGTGGATGTTTTGATGGTTACTGCCCGTACCGCTTGGGTAACGATCGGAGAAACAATGTGAATACGGTTGTGCTACACGTTTGGTTCGGACGTGCGTCTACAGCAGAAGCACATGGCACTTGTACATCCATTTGCGCCCCATAAGCACAGTCATCATTGTTCGGAGGTCCGCGTGGATTTCTAAAATCGGTGCTGGGTGCTCCTCCCTCGCGCGCGGGGGTGCCAGCGCCGACCTAATTAATCTACGCGGACCTCCGAGATCTTGTGTTTATGCAGTTGCTTCTTCCTCTGAGGACGCCCTCTCCGAGGCGCAGCGCCAGGATCGCGCCCCCCTTTTTGGGTTGGAGTTGGCGGAGGCGTTGGCGAAGACGGTCGCGGAGCGAGTCGATATGAAACGAAAGCCGCCCATGAGCGCAACGAGGATTGGTAGAAAGATGAACACAAATACCACTACGGCAGGATAGTCATCGGGAGGGGTCCAGGGACCAGCTTTGAGCTGATTGTGACCAGGGGAGGGGGAGGAGGAGGAGGAGGAGGAGGAGGAGGAGGAGGAGGAGGAGGAGGAGAAGAGGAGGAGGACGAGGAGGAGGAGGAGGAGTGAGTAGCAGGAGGAGGAGAACGCAGGGGACCTCATAACCGCTAAGGGACTTCCGTTTTGGTCCCCCCTTTTCTCTCGGCTTATGATGTCCCAACCTACTTTAGCCGTGGGCCGTGATCACCAGAAAGAATTTCGAGCACCCAGAAAATACAGAAACGCGAGGGTTTTCACGTGTCGGGCCCTGTTTCGACACTCGTCCGACACTGTACGACATTGTTTTGACACTCTTTCGACACTTTTCCAGGTGCTCGAAATTATTTCTGGGATGTGGTCTTTAAGTACGATGGGAACAGCTGAACTCTCGGCGGTGAATCGGAGGTTGGCGGATGAGATCGCAGTGGAACGGAGACCCCCAATCGGGAAATCGTTTCGTTTCGTTCGTGCGCGCGTGCGGGCGAGGCGAAGCTGCGTGGGCGCGCGAGAGGAATGAACCTGCCGTTGCTAGGGCGAAGTCAAGACAAATGTTGTTCCCCCGTCCGTCCGTCCGTCCGTCCGTCCGGCGGTGGCCCTAGCGGTGTCCCGTGGTGTCCCGTGGTGTCCCGTGGTGTCCGCTGTTGCTAGGGCGAAAGACAGATTTGTCGCTCCAGTCCGTCCGTCCGGCGGTGGCTCGCGGTGTCCCGCGGTGTCCCGTGGTGTCCCGTGGTGTCCCGTGGTGTCCGCCGTTGATAGGATGAAGTCAAGACACATGATTCTCCCCCTCCCACCCGTCCGTCCGTCCGTCTGGCGGTGGCTCGCGGTGTCTCGCAGTGTCCCGTGGTGTCCCGTGGTGTCCCGTTGAGTGAGATCGATACGGTGGGGGCGTTGGATAAGGCTTAAGGAATGTGCCCAGGAGGCTTCAGACCCTGGAGGGTTCCTTATCTGATGAGGGCGGCGGTGATATCCATGGCCAATCCACGATTGGCTTTCCACTGGCTTCCAGACCCTGGATTCTTGATCGAAGGTTTCCTTATCCAATGCCATGACCGTAGCCGTTTCGGCGCGAGCTGGTCTACCTGAGCTGGCGACAGCTCGCGTTTGTGCTCACTTACTTCGAAGCGGCGTAGTGGGCACGAGCCAACCTACGACGACGGCTCCTCCCGCGGCAGCCCGCGGGCCATGGCGCCGCCACAACTGGACCCTGCTGGCATCATCCCAGGCGCGAAGCAGACGCCCCTCTGGTCCTGCTCCTGCGGCTGTGATGGGAACTGGGCGTCCAGGATCCGCTGCCGCCAGTGCTGGAAGGCGGCTTCCACCAAGGTGGTACAGGCAGCCAAGCGCTCGGCAGCAGCAGCAGAAGGGCCAGCACCCAGCACGTCTCGCCCGCGCGGGGCCTGGGCGCAAGGTCCGCCAGGACAGGGTCAGCTTCTGGACTCAAGGGCGAGCCCCCGCCGCAGTCGAAGCCCTGGAAGGAGCGCAAGCCCCCGCCCAGGAAGGCTGCTGCGGAGAGTTCTGGCATCTCCTACAAGGACGTGGTCACCTTCTTGGCGAAGGAGGGGCTCGACACCAGCGCGGTGGAGGCAGCTGAGAAGGCGGCGGAGTCGAAGACGCTCGAGAGCAAGCAGCCCTCGGCTCAGACTCAGCGCTGGCGGGTCAAAGCCATGCGGGACAAGATCAAGAAGCTCGAGTCCCGTGAGGCCGCCATCCTGGAGCAGCAGGCTGCGCTCGACAAGGAGCTCCAGGAGCTCAAGGTCTCGATCGAAGAAGAGAACCAGAAGCTCACCGAGGGCGAGGCCAAGCTGGTCAAGCTCCAGGCCAGCGAGTTCCCTGACCCGATCCAGGTGGTCGCAGCGGGATTGGACGAGGACGTTGCAGCCAGCCAGGAGGCCAAGGACGCCCTCGCGGTCCTCGCCCGCCTGCAGACCGCTGCCAGCGACAGCAAGAAGGCAGCGGCCGCTGCCAGGGATGCTGCTGCTCCTTCTGGGGCTGCTGCTGGGGCGGCAGACGCAGGCGGCGAGCACGCACCTGTGCCTGAATCAGACGACATTGACATGGATCTGCTGGGAGGAGAAGGCTGGGAGGCGAAGCACGAGGAGCATGCCGCAGCCTCAGCAGCCCTCCGAGAAGCGGCCCCCGAGCAGCGAGAGGAGGCGAAGCGCAAGCTGCGCGACGCCCTCGACGCGCTCTGGGCTGCAGGCAAGCGGCCGCGGCGCCTTTGAGCCCAGGTCATATGGGTGCCTGGAGGAGCAGAGAGGCCAGGGGGCTGGCAGCCCGCAGTCTTGCCGAGGGCCCATATGCAATGGCGGGTTGCTCGTTCATGATGGAGAGGCGACGGACTCGGGCGTGAGACCCCCTTCGGACCCCGCCTGCAAGGCGACGTGCCGCCCCCAGCCACGGGCTAAGGCGGCAGGCGCGGCGGCGCACGGCGCGGCCATGGTGCCCCAGCTGGCCAGGCTGGTGCGGCCCTCGGCGAAGCAGGGCGCCAGTATCCTCAGCATCAACGGCTCCACGTGGGCGGAGTCCCAGACGGCCATTGAGATGCTGCTGGACGTGAAGGCCAGGGACGACGTGTACCTCATCCAGGAGACGCGGTTCACTTCGGCGCTAGCTGAGGGCTCTGCCCGAGCCTGGCGCAATAGGAACAGCATCAACGCGGCCTTCGGCGAGTGCCGCAGCACAGGGACGGCAGCGCAAGCCGTCTCTTCGGGGGTCGCCGTGCTGGTCGGAGAGCACCGTGGAGCGGCCTGGATTGACCAGACCTGGGGCCAGCACGCCTCCAGGATCATGGCGAGGCGCGTCGCTTTTGGGGACCTGGTGGTGGTGTGCGTCAGCCTGTGCCTGTAGTGCTCGGTCAAGCTCAATGAAGCGAACGTGGACCTCTTGAGTGAGCTGCAGGGTTTCCTACTAGGTCTGCGCGAGCCCTTCGTTGTGGGGGGAGACTGGAACTTGGAACCCAGCCTCCTCAGCAGCTCGTGGTGGCCACGCGCGGTGGGAGCTGTGATTGTGGCGCCCGACGAGCCGACCTGCGGTGAGAGCACGTGCGACTTCTTCGTGATCTCGGACGTCCTGGCAGGGCTGGGGCCGAAGGTGACGGTGCTCAGACAGGTGACGACGTACCCGCACACCCCCGTCAGGCTCACCTTCGAGAAGCTGTGCAGCCAGGCAGGAGTCTGGGTACAGAAGGGTCCCAAGCCGTTCGAGCTGCCAGGAGCGAAGCAGGAGGGGATCCATCCAGAACCAGAGGAAGAGGACTCCCTGACGGACTGGAAGGCGCCGCTCCTGGATGAAAGCGGGAGCCCGAACGCGGCGATCAATGAGTTCTTCGACCAGGCCGAGGAGCGCCTGATACACCTCTTCGGCATCAAGGACGGAGCCAAGTACCGTGGCAGGGCGCAGGGGCCCAAGAGGGTGCTCAAGCAGCTCATCCACCTACTGCGCTCGGAGGAGGTGCGCAGGACCAGCCCGCTAACGCGATGCTGGATTACCTTGGGGCGCCTGGCCACTCAGCTGGCATCCGCGGCAGCGGTGCCCCACCCCTCGCCCAGGCACCACAAGCATGCCAAGAGATTGCAGGCTGCCGCCCTCGACTTAGTCCCCAAGTTCGAGGCAGAAGGCTGCAAGATGTTCGGCGGCGCCAAGATGTCGGCGCTGCTAGAGGAGATCGCGGACAGGCCGGAGCAGGGCAGCATGTTCCTCCAGGCCATTGACGCCGCCTCGGAGGTCAAGCGCAGGGAGGGCGCGAAGCTGGCCAGGCAGCGCTGGAAGGACTTCATGAACGAGGCCCTCAGCGGGAATGGCAAGGGCGCTCACGCGATCAGCAAGCAGGCCAACCTCGAGACCTGCTCCATCCTCGGACCTGACGAGGGCGAGGCCCCTCCAGCCCCGTTGGTGGGGCAGCAGGCCCTGGACAGGATCCTTGAGGAGTGGGGGGCGCTCTGGCACAAAGAGGGCTCCGCCAGCGCCCGCCCCGAGAACTGGGACGAGCCCCTGGGGCTGGGCGCCATCACGGAGGAGGAGGTGCTGGCAGCAGCAAGGTCCTTTCCCAGGAAGACGGCGCTGGGATGGGACGCCTTCCACCCCAGGCTCATCCTCAGCCTTGGCAGGGAGTGCGCGGCCAGGCTGGCAGCGATCTTGACAGCCTGGGAACGGCACCCAAAGCCGTCGGAGCTGTTCACCACGATCATAGTCTTCTTGGGGAAGCCAGACGGGGGCCGCCGCCCGATCGGGCTCCTCTGCAGTTGGCTGCGCATCTGGAGCCGCATCAGGCGCAAATACTGCGCGGGCTGGGAGCGGGACCACAAGCTCCCTGAGTTCTGGGGGGCTGACCCTGACACCAGCTGCGACAGGGCGGCCTACATTCACAATCTTCTGCTCGGCCTGGCGCGCGAGAAGAACTTCGAGGCGGCGTCAGTCTACTTCGACATCAGCAAGTTCTACGAGCAGATCAACCATGGGCTGCTCCTCGACGCGGCGAGGGGCTGCGACTTCAACACGGGGCTTATCCAGGCGCTGTGCGTGCTGTACTCAGGCCCCCGCAGGGCCAGGGCCGACCTTGCCCTCAGCGAGCAGCTGGTCATCGACGACACCGTCATCGCGGGATGCTCCTGCGCGACGACGATGGCGAGGATCACGCTGTACGACCTCCTGCTGAAGTCGAGGAAGCTGCTGCCAATCGGAAGGGTGGTCAATGTGATCGACGACATCTCGGGCCACGGCATCGGCACGCGCAGGCTAGTCGTAGAGCAGATCGCCAGGTTCGCGAAGGGAGTGGCCACCATGCTGGGAGACAAACGGCTCCCCATCAAC